ATCAGTCAATATTGGATATAAAATTTTTCATGCTCATTTCTTCATTTACATTTTACATTCAGATTACCTTTGCATTCATCTAATGCTCAATTAAAGTTACACTGATTTTTAATATCACTGTTAAATATAGCATGTTTTTAGCAGATGTCAAAATAAATGTATATCCTTTTTTCATACTGTACATTTATAATGCTGTTATGCCTAAATTTGCAGCTTTTCAAATGACTTGTTTTAGTTTTTAGTGTCTTTTTTATTTATACAAAATAGATAAGAATTTTAAGAATCAGCTACTTATCAGTTACCATCCAAAACATGAAAATAATTACCATCTTACCTGTATCAACCAGAATATTGGTGCGTCCCTATTTTCATATTTTCTTTACAAACAAGTATCAGGGTTTTAATTGGCACTAATATCTGGAAAATATACAGCTATTATGTAACTCGATCATAGCTATATTCAAAGACATACTTTTGTTGTAAAGTGATGGCATAGAGTATATTTTATGCATTGAACAGAAGCTTTTATCCAAAGCAACTTACAAATGAGGAGCAAAAGCAATTTGTCAAAAAAACAACAATATTTAAAATACATGATTTCAGGTTTACAGGTGCATCTCAATAAATTAGAATGTCGTGGAAAAGTTCATCTATTTCAGTAATTCAACTAAAATTGTGAAACTCGTGTATTAAATAAATTCAGTGCACACAGACTGAAGTAGTTTAAGTCTTTGGTTCTTTTAATTGTGATGACTTTGGCTCACATTTAACAAAAACCCACCAATTCACTATCTCAACAAATTAGAATAAGTATTTTAATTTGTTGAGATAGTGAATTGGTGGGTTTTTGTTAAATGTGAGCCAAAATCATAACAATTAAAAGAACCAAAGACTTAAACTACTTCAGTCTGTGTGCATTGAATTTATTTAATACACGAGTTTCACAATTTGAGTTGAATTACTGAAATAAATTAACTTTTCCACGACATTCTAATTTATTGAGATGCACCTGTATTAGACAACTAGCTCAGAAAGCAAGCTGGAGAAAAGAAGAAATGCAGAGAAGATATTAATTAATTATTATTATTTTATTTTTTTGCAAAACACTTCTCATTGGTTTATAATTTTTTTAGCCCATTCTTATGGATAGTTGCAAGAACAAGTTACTCTTGTATTTTGACTCAGCCATCTGTCAATATGCTTGATTTTCTCCTGTTTCAGAGTTCTGCCTCTCTTGTGGAAAGACGAGAGTGGCGACCTTTCACCCGCTGTTTGAAGGAGGCCTTTGCCTAACATGCAAGGTAAGAGTTGACCTCGAGAACACAACTCGAGAGTCTGGGAACATGGTTTTCCAACATGTGCTGACATGATTGCTCATAAAAGTGTCAAACAACAGCACTCGATCCTTACACCTGGACACCAGTATTGTATCTATTGATTACCTTAACCTGTTACACTCTGTTTGCAGCAACACGATACACTGCTTCGGGATTCTGGTTGGTAGTACACTTAGCTATGTAAGTTATTTACACGTGTTTTTATTTGTGCATGTGTCAGGATGTTTATTTGGAAATCTCCTACATGTATGATGATGATGGCTACCAGTCGTACTGCACCGTGTGCTGTGGCGGCAGAGAGGTGCTGCTCTGTGGAAACGCCAACTGCTGCAGGTACGAAACCAAATGCATGCTTCTCACAAACTCGTTCTTGTCCCACAATCTCTTATTCAATCTCGCATTTCATTTCACTAGTGTCTTGGCATTTCGTCACACTTCACTTCCATAACCGCCCAAACAACCATACCCGCCCCCCCCAATCTCTGAGCCGTTCAGATGTTTGTCTTCTTTTCCTCAGCATTGACATATTGGCTTTCTTTAAAGGCAAAGTGTGTCATTTATTTACCATTAGCCACAAAATGCTGCCAATCTGCCAATTTTCCAGCAATTTAGAATAGTAGCATTATCAAATTTCCCTCTTTAGTTATTTCAGTGGAGGGCTGCCAGTTTTGATTAATCAGTTACACTTGTTGCACTGATAATAACATTTCAAGCAGTTGTTGCATGTTAGAATAATGCAGTTTTATTCTAACTGCATTTTTCAAACCTAATGCTGTTGCAGGTACAGTGATATATTTACTCTTTTATTTGGGCTATCAATCAATGAAACATTTTAATCATATTAATGACATAGTATGCTGATTATTTGAAAATAATCATACACTGTTGTGCCCAGTAGGATTTTGTAATGTTTTTGAAAGAAGTTTCTAATGCTCATCAAGGCTGCATTTATTTGATTAAAAATTGTGAAATATTATTACAATTTAAATGACTGTTGTTCTATTGTAATGTATTTTACAACATAAGTTGTTCCTGTGACAGCAAAAATTATTTTTCAGCAGCTCTCATGAAAAGAAAGTTTAAAATAACATTTATTTAAAACAAAAATCTTTTGTAATATTTTAAATATTCTTGCTGAGATATTTCAAACTTAAATTGCGCAAATGGTTGAAAAATCCTTATGAAATTTATGGGCTCAAGAAGCATGATTAACTTGTATTAGTTTTAATTGACTTATTAATTAAATTTTTTATCACAGTATTTTTTATAATTAATGGTAAATTAATTTGTTTATTTGACAGTTGTACTCTGTATTATTATTATTTTTTTTTAACATTTAAGTTGAGTTCCAATGAATTGACAATACAGAATTAATCTTAAAATTTCTATATATAATTACATATAAAAATAAGAACATGAAAGCAATGAAAACATTATCATTGCTTTGTACAGTATTTATTCATAATCGAATTATAATAAAGACGAATGCTAAATCGAAAGTATAAACGAGAGCCGGACAGATGAACAAAAGCACAAAACTAAAATAAACATAAACATAAAACTAAACATAATCCTGATGGTTCAGGTGCTAGACTTTGTACTGTATTTTTGCGCACATGTACTCCACCTTAAATTCATAAAATGCACACTTTCATCCTTTCAAAAAGATTTTTCTGCTCCCCATCATTTTTGTCACCCATAGGAAATGTTTGTTGGTTGTTGATGAACTGTACAATAATTATGTGATATGGTTGCTGCAGTGATACTATTCTCTGCAGTTGATCTACTGTGCTGGCTAAGAGCTTTTTTTTCCTGTTTGAAACTTAGGTTTTTCAGACTCATGTCAGGCAGCTCAAACAAAATGCATTGTTTTAATAGTGTCACCCCATAGTGACACCTTACAAATGGCTTACACATCAAACTCAAATAGTAAAAAATATTTTTTTTTAAAGTACTCTTCACCTTTAACACCATCCGTTTCATTTGCCTTTTTAAAGGCTGTCTTTGATCAGTGTCTCTGCTCGCAGGTGTTTCTGTGTGGACTGTCTGGATATATTAGTGGGAGCAGGAGCGGCCAACAGCGCTCGTGATCTGGACCCATGGCGCTGCTACATGTGTCAGCCTCTGCAGCAGTACGGCGTGTTAAAGAAACGCCACGACTGGAGCCTGAAACTACAAGAGTTCTTCGTCAATGACAATGGACAGGAGTTTGTGAGTCTCACGTTAACCTTTATACAGAGGGAAATACTCTGTTTGCAAAACTGTAGATTTTTAGTTATACATTATATTAACTTTCATTTTCTTTCAGGAAAGTCCAAAGATTTACCCTGCGGTCCCAGCAGAACAGAGACGTCCAATCAGAGTCCTTTCACTGTTTGATGGCATTGCCACAGGTTAATATGATATCTCTTTAGATTCTATATTCACCTTTTCTGGGTAAATTATCAAAATTAGTGTTTCACAGATGTTAGTAATATATATATATATACCTTGAGCAAGGCACCGAACCCCCAACTGCTCCCCGGGCGCCGCAGCAAAAATGGCTGCCCACTGCTCCGGGTGTGTGTTCACGGTGTGTGTGTGTTCACTGCTGTGTGTGTGCACTTTGGATGGGATAAATGCAGAGCACTAATTCTAAGTATGGGTCACCTTACTTGGCCACATGTCACATCACTTAAATTAGCGTGTTAATGCATGCAATTTTTTATTAATTGCATTAAACACTTAATTGTTAAACACTTAACTAGGGCTAGGGTTGGCCTCCCCACTCACAACTGCTGCTTCTGTCTCTTTTTTTCTTGACAAAAATTGCATTTATTTAGACGTGCAGAATGTCTTTACAACAGCATCAAACAGGAGACTTTTCAGACGCTCACTACAATTTGCCCCAGTGCCAGACACGAGTCAAAAGAAAATGAAAAATGGTAATGATGACGAGGAGCTTCGGTTAAATGAGATGTTGTCAGGCCATACTGTGCTTGTAACGTGCTCTTCAATTGTACACACAAATGCGCTGACGTGCTGTATATCATTTCATATTAAAGCGTAATTATATATAAAAGGTTGTGAGAAAACACGATGCGTGTCAAATCCGTGTCATGTTTAGCAGCGGCAGCACTTAAAGAAATAGCAGCCAAAAACCTAATAACCCATCTGCTGTGATGTCTGTTAATCAAATAACAAAAGAAAAAATGAAATCAAACTTTTATAGTTTTAAGGATTCATCTATATTTAACTTAGAATTTAGTGTTTGATTACTTTATTCAATTTCTGTATATTTCCTACTTGCTGAAGGGCACAGGTAGCTAAATATGACATTTATTATAATGGGTTTTTATGAAGATTGTTTTAAGTTAAAATAAAAGGTATTTTTTAAAGTCTAATAAATGTTAAAATTGATAGCTCTCATTTATACTGTAATGTTGATTGGCTACAATCAATGGTCAGTTTAATAGAGACATCAGTATTGGTATCAGTAGCTACATTTCCATTACCCTTCAAATTGCGCAAATTGAAATTGCGAATTGAAAATACGCCTAATGGAAACGCGTCAATTTCGCAAAAACTCCCATTTATCGCAAAAAAGTTTTTATGCTCACATGAGGTGGTTTTTCAGGCTATTCGAAAAAGGAATATTTCGCAAAACTGCAATGGGAACGTTTTTTGTTCACATTTACAGGTGACATGGCGTATGTAAAAATGTCATATGTCATATGATCATTCTTCAATGTACTCTAACCTCCAAGAAACACTTCATACGTGGCCACTCTCAAGTATAAGGGCTTTCCCTGCCATTAATGCTTAGACAATTTACAATGCACACGTCTGCGGCACATTACGGCTCCGACACAGCCACCGGAGTTGATCTCGGCCACTCTAGTCAATGCTTGCGTTTATACGAGCTGCGCCATGCACGTTTCTGAAGCGGCTCTCCTTCGATTAAATATAGCCAAAATCTGTCAAAATCCCACCAAAATCCGTTGCCATGACTTATCGCGAGAAGGAAAAAAAATACGGTTTAGTCGCATAACATTGGTTAATGGAAATGCAGTCATTTCGCAATACTTTTTTATCGACATTTATAAAATATCGCCAAAGTTTTGTGCAAATCTGTAATGGAAACGCGCCTAGTGATACTCGTCTTTAGACATAAAAAAGATGCCACTAAACAAATATGAAAAATATACTGTCTTTATGTTGTTTGTATATTAATATGAATATACATATGACATATGTGATTTTGAATGCTAATCACTCAGATTTAATTTATATATGCTTTTTTTTATCTTAATTTAGGTTATCTAGTGCTTAGAGACTTGGGCTTTAAGGTTGATGTGTACATTGCATCAGAAGTATGTGAGGACTCCATTTCAGTGGGAGTTGTCCGGCATGAAGGAAAAATCCAGTATGTGCACGACGTACGCAACATCACCAGAAAAAATGTGAGTTAATAGTTATCTGTTTCTGGCTGCTCCACCAGTTCATCTCTGATATAGATATTTAAATGTAAAGTTGTGTTGTGCAATATTTAGAGTCTTTAAAATATTTCAGCAGTTTGAGCTCCTTATTTTATTGTTTTCAACAAAACCCTTTTCGGTGCCACTCTCTATTTAATGTTTTCACTGAAGACTATTTAATGATTGTTCACGTCTGTGAGGTCAGTTTTACTGCTGTTTTTACATAATCAGGGTTTATATTAACCGAGTAAGACCCAGACCTCAGTTTTCTGTTCCCTCATCTGTTTCATTTGATAAAAGACTGAGCGAGACTGATTGGCGCCGTCACCTCACAGGCCCACACCTGGCCCAAAGTTATTTGTTTAGTAGTGCATTGCTTGTCCCAACAGCGCTTGATAAGGCTAATGGCCTCACCTGAGTCTGGTCTTTGTCGTCACACCTCCAAGTTTCTGTTTGGCTTCCATTATCTCTCCAGCTCACATTCAAACGCTCAGACACACACAGGGAGCAGCAAGTTGTCTTAAGCCTTAGTGACGGAACACAAAAGCGCTTTCTCCCTTTCTAAATCCCCTCTCCTCAACTCATCCATTCACCGCCTCACCCTCCCATTCAATCACTCATTCACTCACCCATTGTTGTTGCCAAGCTGGATTGGGCGGGAGTGCAGAGAGGGATGCATGAAAGGACTCTTGTCGTGGAAGAAAAGAGAGAAGGGATATATTGGAGGGGGGTTTTGGGGCCCTGGGTTGGGTTATTTATGAAACACTGAAAGAATGAGAAGGCCTGAAAAGAGTCCAGCTGCAGACACGCTCTCGTACTGGCACACACAGATGTGCCAAGGGTAAAGATGTACACAGGCCATTCCCACAGGTGTCTGAAGCATGGGTTTCCTTCAGCAGAACATCTGGAAAGTCTAATGAAATGCCGCCTTTGACCTCAGTGACTGATAATTACACCAAATTACTGTTCTGGGAGTTTCCTTATCAACTCAAGGAACAGTATCAGCCAGAAAAGGTTGCACTTCATGTTGGAACCTTAAATGTTTTCAGAAAAGTAGGAATTCAAAATAGAGTGCAATAGTTGCATTCTGAAAGTTAAAATACCATTCATTTTCTCCATAGGGGGATTGATTATTAATAACTTATAAACCATTAAAGAAAGAAATAATCAAGATCTTTAATCCATTTCTCTGAAGTTATGTCATTATGTCATTAACAGTGCTTTATGGGATTGTAATTTTTTCCATCATGAAAGCCATTAAGTATACAGTCTTGTACCTTTGTCTTTTTGATTTTCAAATACGTTTTTGCTTCAAATCAAAGGTTTGTAATGTTGTGATTCATCTCGTAGATGGTTAATTTGGTTCATGGCTTGTAACTTTTTAATGAATACTTTTCAAAAGTCCTTATCGGAAAAATAAATTCCTTATGGGAAAAATATTTCTGGGAAAAATACTTCCAGGCAGCTAAAAAAGTGGGTGGTCACTGTTGCACTCTGTAATCAAACATTTGGAAACAAACTAATGGATTTTGGTGAGGTGAATGTGTGGTGCAGCTGTGCTAACACTAGATGGTGATGTTGTGTTGCTCAGATTGCTGAATGGGGGCCGTTTGACTTGGTGATTGGTGGAAGTCCCTGTAATGACCTTTCGATTGTTAACCCTGCCAGGAAAGGCTTGTACGGTAAGACATTATAGCACTTATGAATCTTATTAAGGGAATCTTTCATTCTCCTACACAAACCCCTTGTAGATTCTATAATTTGTTATAATTACATGCTGTTTCATAACACATGAATTATTATGGTAATGTGTTTACAATCCGCTCTGTGGCAGGGTGTTTTTTATTAAAGGGGTCATATGATGTTGCTAAAAAGAACATTATTTTGTGTATTTGGTGTAATGAAATGTGTTTATGCGGTTTAAAGTTAAAAAAAAACATTATTTTCCACATACTGTACATTACTCTTTCTCCTCTATGCCCCGCCTTTCTGAAACGCGTCAATTTTTACAAAGCTCATCGGTCTGATTTTTATATACAAATTAATATGTGCTTTATAAGTACTAATAAACAGCCAATATGCATGCTAATAAGCAACACGTTAATATTGAGAATTGGTCCTTAAAAAAAATTACCAATAAATTTTATTTTTTCCTTTTTTTCCTCACCATTTGAAAAGTAAACATATTGGCCATTTGAACTACTACAAAGTTGCCAAACTAGGTTGTGTGAGTACTGAATATTGGCCCTACTGTTAAAATTAATCCACGCTAAGAATGCTTATGCAATGACATACCAGTGCGATTGAGGGTGGCCATATTGAGCATAGCCTCCTGATAAGCTTGCTCCACCTCCTCCCTGGATATCACCAACTTTATCTTGTTCCACTTCTCAGGCTAAATATATTAAGCATAAAGGTAAACAGATACAGAAAGAAATGAGATGAGATTACAGTGATACATGTGGAGTTGTTATCTCTTCATAACTTCTACAAAAAAGGGGGAAAAAACAGACAAGCAATCATTCCAAAGATGTAGGTCATATTTGAGGCTTATACACAGCGGTACTCACTATATCCAGCCACTGATGGGCATTCACTGCTACTTGAGTTCCCAGAGGTTTAGTCAGAACTAACACATCTCCAGGTACAGCACTGCCAGGCCTGCAAACATACACATACATGTGAGCATTTACACAACTAAAATCGTGAAGTGTCACACAGTGGATATTCACTTTGATAATTGTGGAAATATCCATTAAGGAAAATCTGAATCATTCAGAACCAAGTGTACAGACACAGTCCTTTGATTCACGAGAGAGCAGACAGAGACAACTCTTGGAGTGTTACAAGCTGTTCATGAATAGATAAGATCCCTAAAGTTGCAAAGACTAAAGTCTCAAACCCAAAGAGATATTCTTTATAAAAGTTAAGACGCCCTCCTAAAACGCCTCGTTTAAACACGCCCCCACATGTCTACGTCACTGTGTGGGAAGATTTGCATAACACTGCCCTAATGTTCACGCAAAGAAAGAAGGAGTAACTTTGATTCTCGCTGTAGTATTGTTGCTGCCGCCGCCGCCATGTCGTGAGGGAGCTGTGTGTTTCCTTGTGAAAGCGAAAATACTTTGTTTGGTCTTCCAAAAGAGGACACAACTACAAATCAGTGGTTAAGTTGTATTTACAACACTGTTCCGGAACAAACCAAATATTTGTGTGTGTGCAGCGCATTTAACGGAGGACAGTTTCCTGAACCTACAATAACTACAATGTTCTGACTCACAACCTGCAAGTATGTTTTCATATTTAAAGAATTTGCCACTGATGATTCAAACGCGAGTTTTGAGCAGTGTAGAGTAGCGCTTGTTGCTTGTCGTTTCTCCGATCACAAATGCAGACAAATGGTTTTATGTTTACGCGGCGCGATACGCAACGCAACACGTAAAAAGACAGTATAAGTCATTATAATCAGTAATTATGTCCCCACTGGATGCAACAAATGCCTCATTTATAATGGGTTTTAATGTTTTTGTCTCGTCGCTCCGGGACACGGCATCACAATATGGTAAGGGGCGTAACATTTCCGTCACACGCTTGAGGTATTCAGCCAATCACAATGCACTGGATAGCTGGCCAATCAGAGCACACCTCGCTTTTCAGACCGATGAGCTTTGTAAAAATCGATGCGTTTCAGAAAGGCGGGGCATAGAGGATAAACAATAATGTACAGTATGTGGAAAATAATGTAAATGTTTTTTGAACCTTAAACCACATAAACACGTTGCATTACACCAAATACACAAAATTTTTATCTTTTTAGCAATGTCATATGACCCCTTTAAAACTTTTTATTTAGAGTTATCCATTCATCCATCCATTTTCCAAAACTGCTTATCCTCTGTAGGGTTGCATGACGGACATGGATTTTGTAGCTTCTTAAGTGGATTTGTGCCATCACACATATAATGTTAGTTTCAATTTTAATTACTAAGACAGTAAGTAAGGCTTTACTTCTAAAGCAAATAGTAAAACAACGTTTACAAAGTGCTTTACAGCAGTGGTTCTCAACCAGGGGGTCAGGTCCCACTAGGGGGCTTCAAAGCAAACTTTCAAGGGGCCACATGATGACTTAAAATAATTTAAAGTAATATATCATTATTAATAAAATGTATATTAATATATAGAAATCACAAAATGCATTGTGGCTAATTTATATATCAATGCTTCTACTTTCTGTTAATAAAAAAGCAAGTGGTGTTTTCATAAATACAGCAGAAATTACGGAAGAGATCTCTTACCCTTTATTGGGGGACTTTGAGTCAAAAAGGCTGAGAACCACTGCAGAAAAAATATAAATGTTTTGGAAAATATAAACAATAAAAAACATCATAAAATAACTGAATAGAACTGAAGGAATAAGAAAATATAGATTTCACTTATACATTTTAGAATTTTCATATATATTTGTCCATTTATTAGTTTTCCATTAATATTTTCTTTTAATATTTTCCATGTCTCATCTTTATTTATTTGCACTATTTATATTGAACCCAAACCATATCTAAGGGCCATAATCACCCAGAACACCTTAGCAACCACATAGCAAGATGCTAACAACCAGTCAGAGTCCTTTAGCAACCACTCAGAATATAAAACATATAAAAATATGCACTATTTTGTGTTTAGAGGGGACTGGACGCCTGTTTTTTGAGTTCTACCGCCTCTTGAGTGAAGCCAAACCGAAGGAAGGGGAAGACCGACCTTTCTTCTGGATGTTTGAGAATGTGGTCGCCATGAGCGTCAATGATAAGAGAGACATCTCACGATTCCTGGAGGTTGGAGTTTTATCAGTGGTTGCTGTTGTTAGAGATGGATTGATCTGGTTAATTCTGATTTCAATTTGTTTTTGTGTATCTCTAGTGTAATCCAGTGATGATTGACGCCATTGAGGTATCAGCTGCACACAGGGCACGTTATTTCTGGGGAAACCTGCCAGGAATGAAGAGGTATTTGCCATCTCATCTTCCCCAGTTCCTCTTAAAGGGGTCATATGATGCTTTTTTAAAGATCATTATTTTGTGCCAGACACCATCTCTAAACCTTTTTGACCAGCATCACAATACAAATGAAAACATGATATATGTACTTAATGCAAGTTTGAAATGAATCCACTGTCTTTCAGACCGCTGTGTGCGTCTGGGATGGATAAATTAGAGCTTCAGGACTGTTTGGAACATGGCCGTGTTGCCAAGGTAAGTTATGTGTAAAGCCAACGGGCCTTTATTGATTTACTCTATTTATTCAGTTCATTACCTTGAGCAGGCTGTAGCAGGAGAAAAACTTTAAATCTAACTCTGTCTTTAGTTTGGTAAGGTACGCACCATCACAACACGATCCAACTCCATCAAACAGGGCAAAGACCAACACTTCCCTGTCATGATGAACGGCAAAGAGGACATCCTGTGGTGCACTGAGCTTGAGAGGTGAGTTCGCAACAACAGCAATTGGATTTTTTGATTATATCGAAAAGTCGAGTGCTTGTGTGCTGATTTCATATGATTTTGAAAAACTTTTTCAACAACCAGTTAAATTTAATGACTCTAAGAATGTCAGGTGGTGTAACCATCAAGTAAAATGTAACATCAAAATATTTTTTTTTCAAGGTACAATTTTTTTAAACAAATCACTTTTTTTTTCTTTGTACCATATGACATTTTACAACTAACCTTGTCATGTCATAAAAATGTCAAATTATCTGATAGTTTATGAGATTTATTGACCTTCAAACAGTCATGAAGATCTGCAGTAGTTATTTTTTTAATACAATTTCCTGTTTTAGGTTTCACTTTGAGTTGGACAAAGGTTTTTAAAAATCATTTTAATATTTAATGAACTGCTTGATTAGCCTATTTAATAAAGTTTCTTTTCAAGGATTTCTTTCATTTAATGAGTCGTTTCCATTCATTATGATATCAGGAAGGTTTTTTTTACCTCCCTGATTTTTGACTTTATGCCTTTTAAGTGTCAAAATTAATTTCAAATTCATTCAAAATTTCATTCTAATAAACAATTAAATTATTCAAGTCATCGTGTATTGAAGTCCCAGTTAATTGAATTAATAGATTAAGAAATATGCATCACGTAATTGACCAAAAACTCTCTTACTTTCTCCTCCTCAGGATTTTTGGCTTTCCTGTCCACTACACTGATGTGTCCAACATGGGCCGTGGCGCCAGACAGAAGCTACTGGGACGGTCTTGGAGTGTTCCTGTAATCCGGCACCTGTTCGCCCCATTGAAGGACTACTTTGCCTGTGAATAACACATGTAGTCCGTGATCAGTTAGTCCAAAGTCACACAACAAACATCGTAAAGTACAAAACCAAATGTCCTCAATAAGGAGCTCTTGGAGACTAGCTAACCTCCACATTTACAAGACGATCTCAGCTTTGCAAAGACAAGCTGAGACGTTGAGTTGACTTGAGGATGTGGGTAGTCTTGACCAAACTCAAGGTAGACACTGTGTTGTGATGCTTAGAGTGTCACTTAGTAAAAGCACAGTTAGCTTTTGTACTAGCCATTTTTATATTGATGTGCCTGTCAAGGTCTTTGAAACTGTCAGGATTCATCTCAACACATGCAGGTAGATTTTGTCCTTTATTATCATGAGAAAAAAAAAACATAACATTGTCCATGCTGCCTTAAAATCAAAAAAAAAAAAAAAGTTCAAACATTTTACAGCTTATCTGGCTAAGGAATGTACAAATCTACATAGATTTTTTTATTATGTAAAAGAATCAGTATACTTGCATGTGACGCATTTCCATGGTATTGTTGGTGTGAGAAAAATACTTGAAATCTATCAATGCAAACGTACAAACACCAAGCTGTGAGCCCTTAGAAAATGCATTTCAAAAGATGCGTGAAAAGAATCGATGCCCCGTTCGTGTTTCATACAGTCTACATTCCCTCTGTAACATTGCACAATAACAGTATAACCAGAAGGTGTTTATTAGCAGAACTCGAGGGCATTAGCCTGCTAAACATTACACGATTGTTTTCTTGATGAGTAATTTGTGTCAAATAATTACTCAAGATAGAGATCCGTGTACTGTATTTTAACCTTGTAATGAATGTTTACAAACTTTAACACATTTCAACATGTTTTTAAAGCTTTCTTATTATACCTTGAATTTTGTTTTAGATTGACCTCTATAAAGAGGGACTGGTGTAGATGTAAAATGTTAGCTCTATATGGGTTTCTCTCAGATAGAGGCTTTCATTTGTCTTTAAGGACTGTTGTTTTTATACTTGCTGTTGCTTCACACAATAACAAACGCATTGTATCACGCATTGTAGCTTAAAATCGATGCCTCATCTGTCTAAAACACTTAATGTGTGGTGCCTTTTGAAGAGAACAGATACAGCCTGCCATACAGGGAGGGGTTGCGAAGAAACTTTCTGCTTTTGTTCGATAGACCTAATGCTGTAACACAAACTTTTTTATATGCTGTTTTATATGTCTAATTGTATGCTTAATGTAAACTACTGTCCAAACTTAAAGCTTGAAGACCATAAAGTAGCCTTAATACTTCATAAGACATTGAACAGAATTATCGTTGGATACTGCATGTAAATTACACTCATTTGTCCTGTACACATCTTGACAGGCAAAAATGTATGTAAAACAGTGCAAAGATGTGCTTACTGTCATTTTATTTTCTTAAAGGTTTGTTACTGTAGTGTAAACAGTTTTGATATCATAGCCTTAATATTTTGCTTGGTAGATCTTTAAATTTGATATATAAAGCTGTCTTTTTACTTGTTTATTTGGTAACATAATGAACATGTTAATCTATACCTTTGAACATTAACAGTGCTTTTATACAGTCGATTTATATTTACTTTATTTTTATACTTTTTTTTCTTATACTTTTTTTTGTATACAATTTATTTTTCTTTTGGGACTTATGGTATAAAACTCAAATAAACAAAAAAAAAAATGTTAGTATCCTGAGCAAAACCAATAAAGACAGACTCCAAAGCTGTTTGAGCTTGTGATTTGTGTTCAGTGTCTGCTTTTAATTGTGTGGTTATGACTGGGGATCATATCTACCGATTTGAAATTAATATAATCATAAAGCTTATGTTTTTAAAAGGAGCCTTGTAAAACTGACTAAATTCACTTTTATCAGATGCATTTAAATGCATCTAAATGCCTTTACATCTTTAAAAACTATTTTGTCCAATTAAATGCTCTCTAAAATTAAAAGGTCCAATACCACCTGCACATCATGGATATTTTTAAAAAGGGTGATTAAGTCAAGGGAATTTAAAGCAAAATGTTCCAAATGAAAAAACATGATTTAGTGGTCAACATTCCAAATGATTTTTCTTGCATATCCTCCTTATGCTGCAATGCTTACTTTCTCCTGCTCTCATAAATCTCATTGACATAATGCAACATCATTAAACTTACATCTTGTATTTCAGACATTTTAAAAAGCTCCACCGCAAAGACATGCCACTTCTGACAGCAGCAAGCATTACAAAATTAAAATATTTATTTACAACCAAAAACTCTGATAAGAGTGCAGAGATAACTGGTTCATTCTTGGTATCCGATGCCTTTTGGACATCATGAAATACAGAAAATCAAAAACAGATTTTAAAATCTGCTTTAGTCAATTTGTGCAATCATGATAGGGAGATAAAAAAACATCTGAAAAATGATTTTGGTCAAGTTCAGGCAAAAAAAGTAATAAAGAATAAAACTGAAGACCAAAAATGTCCCCCGTTAGGGACAAATGAACAACAGTTTAAAAGACTTTGGCATTGTGGACATCGGCTATCTTTAAAAAAAACTAATATCCCTTTGTCAATTTAAAAATGAATCCAATAAATTAGCCTATTTAACAATGTATTAGGCTATGTATGAATTTTACTTAATGTACATCACTTATTATACACATAAATTGTACATCATTTTACATTTTTGTTTTCAGCTAGGCTGCAAATGCATGTTTTTGTTATGTTTTTAAAGCTATCAGTGGTTCTCAACTCCAGTCCTCGGGAGTCGGGACCCACTGCTCTGCACATTTTGTAGACTATGTCTCCCTTATTTAACGCACTTGATTCAGATCACCAGCTCGTTAAGAGAGAGATCCATGAACTGAACTGAGTGTGTCAGATAAGAGACGCATACATAGGCCTAATGGGCAGAGCAGTGGGTCCCGAGGACTGGAGTTGAACCACAGGCCTACATTCGCTATTGAAATTTCATTGACACGGATTTATTCGTTTTTTTCTGAATTATTCGTTTATTTTCTATCATGCTCTATTTTTATTAGTAAGGAAAATAAAATAAGGCTTGGTATTTTAATGTGGCACAAGAAAATATTTCAGTCTGCCAGCTTGTTCTGTTTCTCCTGATTAGTTTCTTTGTGTTTCGCTGTATTAATATGAAAACCACTGCGTGGTTGTGGTGCTCTTCTGTTTTATCTCCAGATCTCAGACCACTTTGCCGGTTTTTCCACACAGTGCTTTAAAATTTTCTCCCCCTTTTCACTTCTGATTCCTATCAGCGGTATTCACTGTAATATTTCTCAAGCTAGGAAATACATTTATCTGTAAAAATGAAGAAAGCCGTTTGAAATGTCCATCAGTGTAAGAATTAGACTATATGGTCATATTCTTGAACAGGTAGACATTGTGAAATTTCTGGGAGTATGGCTTGATAAAAAGTTGACTTTTAATATACAAATTGAGAAACTGATTACAACGTGCAAAAGAACGTTAAATGTTATGAAATGTCTGGTAGGTTGTGAGTGGGGGGCACATATATTGCTCTATTATATCAGCAGTTGATTATGGTTGTATGGTATATGGAACAGCAAGTGATACTCAGCTAAAGAAAATAGATGTTACTCAGATGCAGGCTTTGAGAATGTGTTGTGGGGCTTTATGTACTTCTCCTGTGAATGCTATTCAAGTTGAAATGGGTGAAATGCCAGAAGTGAGAAGGCAACAAATAGCTATGAATGACTGGGTATCTTTATACACCCAACTAAGTCTGTGTTTCATGAGAGTTGGGAACATACCCAAGACAAAATCAAAAGCATAGGCTGGACAGGAAATAGAATGGCTCAAATAATGGGTATAGATCAATGGAAATACTCTCAAAGTGTGCCATTACCTGCGAGCCTCCATGGTTATTTTCCTATGCCTTTTATAGATACTCATGTTCAGAATGCGCCGGCTTCCCTTTTAATTTGATTGATGATTGCGCCCGCCTCTCATCTCGACAAATCACGTGAATGCAAGCGGAGTCGATCTGAGGCTTGAGTGCATGTCAGGGAGGCGCGCAGAGTGATCAAATATTTAATTATTGACTCCTAATTTGAATCTGTACATTATAATGAAAACAATTCCTTAAAAATTAAAAGAAGCAAGTTTTTGCAATCAGATTTTTTTTATTAAACCGGTAAACTTTTCAGTTCAAGGATCCAGTAAACGAATGCCTTCAAACAGTAGCCTAAGTTCAAAACAGCTAAGTTACAGAGAAAACCCGACCGGTTTCATTAGAGATGGCTTAGAGTCACCTCCAGAATTATTATTTTCAGCGTGTATTTGGCTTAAAAGCACGAGTGTTTTATAATGGACGCTTTATAATGGAAGCCTGAAGGTGTTTTTTTTTTTATTCTGAATGGATCCGTATAGAAGCCTGTACAGTCAGGTCAAGGCAGTAGGTTTAGTGATCTTTTGGCGTCTCCTTGTGGTCCTGTTTGATATTGCAGCTTGACTAGTGCTTAATTGTATTAAAAATGCTCTAAACAATTTTGTTTTTTGCACTATATAGTAGGCTATATAGATAAATTGTAAAAAGGTATGGGGGAAGTAGGTGTTACTATTTGCCTGTCACTGTATGCCATGGGAGAAACAGTCAGTCAAACATAGGAGTAGGCTGCACAATTAAAAAAAAAATGTTTTGGTATCAAATAGAGATCATGATCCTCCTACTGATAACTAAACAAAATAGCTTGTCTACTAGAGGTTCTGACAAAATGTTAATTGTTGCAGTCTATGTAATTTTTACATTTTAATTATTTATTGCAAAATCTGCACCTTTTTGTGGCTAATATTAATTTCATAATGATCCTTACTCCGTGAAGCCAAGTAGCAGAAGTTACAGTAAGTGAAAATGTGCAAATACTACTGGCCCATTTTGGGGTGAACTAAATATGCAAGACTAGTCTTACGTCACTGTTTATAACACAGGCCGTTCATCCTTTGCTGGGCCGCTTAAAAAAATGGGGACATAAATTAAAAGTATACCCACTTCTCCAGGCACCACTACACCACTGGTTCAAAGGACCCAGAATCTGGAAAAGTAGGAACAGCAGTATATGTTCCAAAGTACCAGGTAGCTATCAAAAAGAGAATTTCAGATAATTTATTGGTATTTACAGCTGAGCTTGTAGCAATATATTTGGCTCTATACAGTGTGTGGAAGAAGTGAGGCTAGACAAGGTAGTCATATGCTCGGACTCTTTAGCAGCTCTAAAAAGTCTGAAATATGGACTTTCTAACTAGACAAGATATAATATATGAATTATTGCAGTTAGTGTACATACTGCATAATCAAGGAATTAACATTCATTTTCTTTGGATTCCTGCTCATGTGGGAATAGAAGGAAACGAGATAGTGGATAAACTAGCAAAAAGCTCATTAAAATGCAGCCATGTTGAAATTACAATTCCCATGAGCAAATCTGAAACTTATTAGAAACGCTACAAATAATATATGGGAGCAAATGCGGGACAGAGGAACAAAGGGAAGACATTTATATAGATTTCAAGGAAATGTGGGTAAAGAAAGAGGATTCACAACAATATTAAGAAGAAAAGAAGAATCAGTTATAACAAGATTACGTATGTGTCATACTGGACTTAATGGTAACTTATATAAAATTAAAAAGCATCACAATGGGTTATGCAGTCGTTGTAATCTAGAAGAGACAGTTGAACATGATATTTTATATTGTACAGAGTATGAAAATGAAAGACGAGTGTTGTTCATAAACTTGCAGGAAAAAGGAATCCAAGACATGGCATTAAAAAATATGTTGGCAAGAAAACAAGGTATGAAAGATGAGGTGTTACAATATATAAAAGCAACAAGATTATATCTGAGAACATAAATAAGAAATTAAATAGTTAGTATGAGTGATATTTATGCATTTAGGTATAATACTTTGTATTTAATAGTTTTTTTGTATTAAGGTATGTTTATTTATTAATAAGTTAATAAGAGTAGTCTTTCCGCATTGCTGTTCCACACTTTAGTTCAGTTGGTGGCGGTAGTGCACCTAAAAGCTGGTTTGCCAACCGCCAATAAACAAAAGAAGAAGAAACGTCCATCAGGGTTCTAATGACGGAAAAGTTTTGATTAAGGCAACACACAGGTATGTTAATAATAGACCAACGCTACTATACGGGATTATTTAAACACGCACATTATATTGCTGCTGTAAAACTCACTCATTTGAACTTTTGGGATTATTCTGATAGTAATTTTTAATAGCCTAATTTTACACAATTCATTTGCTTTCGATGTTTGAGGAGTGAGGAGAACAACGTCACCTCATTGTGCAGTTTTTGCAAATGAATATTAGAGCATTGTTAAAGCGAACCTTTGAATTAAAAGTTTGTGGCACTCGCTGACCGTTCAGTTGGGCGCAGTGCATCATGGGGCTTTGAGAGGTAGATGACAAGAATAAAAAAAAGCCATAATTGTAAAACGATTTGCGCTACAAACCAGTGTATTTATTCAAATAAATATCAGTTTGCAATATCAAGCAGCATAACGAGCTGTTTTGTACAGCTAAAAATAACTGGAATCGACTGACACCAAATGCCTTGCACATTCAAGTCACAAATGACTGCGCTTGCTCTTACGGTTAAAAATAAGGTTGGTAGAATAAAGGAGATGCTGTTGTCAAATTAGCTAGGTTTGCCTCTCCAACGGGCGTTTAGTTTTGTCTCGGTCAACCTTAAAGTCACATTTTGATAAGCATTCAAATTCTTCTTAATGTTTAACGGCGGTTGGCATCCAGCGTAATTGGTGCATTACCGCCACCAGCATTCAAATTCTTTCAACAGTTGCGTAAATGACCAAAGGACATCACTTCCGGTTCATGCGTTACCAGCCGCCATTACAAAAACGCCAGGTTGCGGTCTAACGTTACAGTATTCAACGCACTGTTGTACCGTGTTTGTAAAAACAGTAGGCCAGTTTAGCACTATATTGTATACATTGCAACAATTCTATCGTAATATGCAATTCCAACATATTATATCTACCTGCTTCGTCTTACGTTTTTAACCATTTATTTATAAATACATAAAGATTAGTTGCTATATGACATCGTAAGATCTTTTTCATTCGTATGCTAAATTCGGAATAGACTTTCTACTACTACTGCTAGAAATATAGTATAGCCTACGATGCATGTTATTCCGAAGTCAGGCTATTTTTCGTTCCCTTTTGCCTTTTTTGAACCGCTTTTCTGCTTTTAAAGAGTGATTACAGCACGACCAAATAACTTTCTAATGCGGGTTGTAAAAAGCATTTCATTGGTTGGAGTGAACGAACACGCCTCCATCACCAAACGAGTCATTGTTTTGAATCTGAAGAGACCGAACAAAGCTCCTGAGAGCTCCTGATATTTAGTAAGCATCGTTCACAACAACACAAATTAAGCGGGAGAATTGAAGTGATACTCAAACTTTTTTCAAGATCTCTTAGTATATTTGCAGACATACAACTATAACAAATTACGTTTCGGTTGTGAATGACTCGTTTTTTAGCGATTCGGTCGAGTAAATTGAAGACTCAACTTATAACACGCAAAAGACACGCACTGATCGCCATCTACTGGAGTAACGATGCCATTTACAAATCCGTGAACAAATCTTTTTGCGATTCAAAAGATTCGAGTCACTAGGATGAATCCAATTTCCCACCATTGACCTACAGTTTTCCCACGTTGCAAAACAGCAGAACGCTTTTGGGTTCAAACGCGACCGACTCCCCTAAATTCCGTCAAACCGACCGATCTGCTGATCCACTGAATTCGCGGCATCGCCAGAGGGAGGTCCGATTACCGATTCAAACACCGAACGGGACAGGGTGGTGGTAAGTAACGTTAGTATTAAATGTAATGGATTTTACTCTCTGGACATCCGAATAGTTGGTGTAACTTTAGTTGCTTCACGTGATAGAATTTTTAAAGAACAAAAGCAAGGCTTCAATAGGACAAACACATGAACCCAAGTGCTTAGTGAAGCTTTTATATAAGTTACAGGTTAAAAGGTTGCAAGCGGCATTCGAGTTTGTTTTTAACATACATTTATCACGTTACATTTACAAATACACATACCGTTGACGATATACTCGTGTTTTTGCCAAAGTATGTGGCTCACATAATGAACAATGTGTTTACATATTACTCAAGGAAAAACTTGCACTATATATCTCGTCTAAGAAATATACTTAAGATTATACTTAAAAATTGATTTCTGCCTTAACGCAGTGTTTGAACGTATAACATGATAAATAAACAATTGTTTACATACTGCAGTCATTTTAGCAGAACGTTTTATCACCGAACAGTAACATATTTGATAAGACGATTTTCCCGTGCAGTCCGTGTGTCCCACCGTGCAGTGTGGAGGAATGTGCTGGGGGGCCGCTCGCGCTTCATTGGCTTCTGCAGCTGTTTCCTCCCTTTAGATTTCGCGGCAAATGGAGGGGTCCGCGTGCGCATGCACGGTTATGTTCTATAACCGATTACTTTAGATGTAATAAGTCGTCTTCATCTGGGAGGATTCTCTGTCAAGGAGAAAATGTTTTGTCTTTGCTTCGTCCTTTTAAACAGGTTTTTTTTTTTTTTTTTGATGGTTTGAATGAACTAACCCACATTTAGCGCATATAACTTAGTTGTCTGCGGGTACATTAAAATGTTATTTATTACTATGTAGACTCAAATGTTTTATTCATGATGTTGAAGTTATTGCATACTTAATACTGTCTCTATGTATGTATCATTGTTAGGGTACTTATCTGTAAACAATTATATTGTCAACGTTTTCAGAGTGTCTCCACAGGTTTTCAGATTACAATGTCTCCACAGGTTATGAAAAAATGGTGGTGAAAGTGAAGATTGGAGATGAGAAACACCATCTTAGTGAGCTGCTGGACTGGCTCAATGACATACTGCAAGCCACTTTCAGCCAAGTGGAGCACACCTGCTCTGGTATTTTTGTTACCAGGCTAATTAAAAATGTTGAATGTTAGATATTTTTCGCTAACACTTTTATGGCGTGTTTTTCCAGGTGCCGCCTTTTGTCAATTGATGGACATCATTCACCCTGGATCTGTTGACATAAATAAAGTGAAGTTCACAGCAAAAGAGAATGCAGACATCTTGGATAATTACAATCTGCTACAGGACGCTTTCAACAAGGCACAAATCAAGAGAGTGAGCAATTAAATAACAAAATCGCTTTGAAAATGTTTGAAGCAATAAATGAAAATTCAGACTATGTTGGTAAATTAATTTATCATATAAAATGTGTTTTATTTATATGGCTATGCAGTGATCAACATGCAGTATTGTTAAAAATGCATGTCCCCCCCCCCCCCCTGAAAATATTGGATTTGCTTTCATGGTTCAAAGATCTTTATGATCACAATGTTGCACAGCAGAAATATAACACTCAGGAGGGTTTTGTTGAATGGGAAGTGGTGTCATTGAAATCAAGAAGAGAATTTGAAATCTGTAAGTGTTTACACTTTGAGTTTTTATTATTGATATTGTGACTTTTATGTAATTTTTATGATTTTCCCCTCTCTTTTTATTGATAGCTAAGAAGGAAGAACAATCTTCAAGACTCTACAGTCCTGTACAGACAAAATATATAAACCAGAAAATGCTCAATTTTAAGAAGGGATCACATGAGTCTTCCTTCCGAAATCCGGCCACAATGTCTTTCATTAGAAAGTATGGCTCACCTGATGCTGGGTCAAACTTTGCCAGCAGCAGGGATAGTCTAGTATTAGGCCAGAAATGTCAGGAAGACATTACAGCCTTCTTCATTCAGACTCCATACTGCCTTTATTTATTCCATGGAGTGGAGCTTCAGGACGAGAACAAGGCCATTGTTCTGCTGTTGGGCTTTTTTGACAAAGCTACTGGGGAAAACAAATTCCGATTGCTTGATGTTCTTCATCCAGAGGAAGAGACTGCTGATGCCATCTGTACATGCATTGTGGAGATGCTGAAGAAGTTTAGAATACCTCTAATGAACATGGCGATATTTTATTCAAATTTCCCAGATCATGAAGATCTTCTCTCAGGTCTGAAGTTGCTGAAACCTGAGATTGTGTCTTTATGTGGACTTACAGATATGGCAGGACGAGTGTGTCACAGTGGTGTTGAGAAAATGGAGATTTCTGGCCCGATTGTGAACCTCATCACAGAGATCTACAAGCACTTTCCATCTTTTCCAGATTCTCTACAGACTTTGCTTGAAGATGTTGATTGTTCGAACTTCAGTAATATCCTGACGTCCCAATGCTCTCTCTTCTGTAGAATCATCCAGAAAATGACTTTAGCTTGGTCAGACCTTGAGAAATACTTTGGATCTCTGGATGCAGATGAAAAAGTGATCTGTCGTCTTCTTAGTGATCCCAAAATAAGACTCAACGTCCTATTTCTTAGCCACGCTTTGCAACCGCTTTGCGATTTTCAGGAGACTATTGACCGAGGTGTCAGCGTGACACAGCTCCTCCAAGATGCTTCTCAATTAGTGAGATTCTACACGGCGAGTTTCCTCAGACCAAAAGCAGCAGAGTTTTTTCTCAGAAGAGGGAAGACCTCGCTTATACAGGAAACAGTGGGACATTTACCTAGAGGAGAGGTTAAAGTTGGCAAACAGGCTGCTGACTTTCTCCTGCAATGCTCTGAAGAGTTGACTGACTACTTGGAGACATTCCACAGTTCTGTCATCTCCTTCTACACGACTGTGACCGTTAATATTGTTGAATGTTTACCCTTCTCAGATTCCACCATGAGAAACTTGTCATTAGTGTTGTGTCCAGGAAAAAAGCTTGAAGTGACTGGCAAAATAGTTCAAGATTTAGGTGCCTGTTTTGGGGTTTGCTCAGGCCCTGAGAATGTCAGCTTACTCACAGATGAGTTTTTGGAGTACCAGTTCATTGATGGAGGTGACACACACCCAGCCGACCAGTCAATGGAGGAGTACTGGAAGACTGAGCTGAGAATTATGGGAAGGACATCAAGTTTTGGGAAATTAATCGTTAGCTTGTTGGCTTTGCCCAGAACATTGAAAAAAGAGATAATTTTTGAACAGGTGAGTCACTGAAGTATGAAGAGCTTGAGAAACCAAAATTTCATGTGTCTGTGACAAGATATAATTTCTCCCTTTTAATGTGACAGTGGTTATGAAAATTATTTAGTTTGTATTAAGGGACCTTTGATGTTTAAAATGTCGAGAGCATCTTACATCCATAGCAATGCACTGTCAACCGTCTAGAACATCCTAACATGACAGCAAGTTGTACTAAGCAAACATCTAAAGGTTTGGTTTGTATTTGTGTGTGGTTGTCTGTATACCAGATGTTTCAACAAACTGACTCAGATCTCAAGGAGATGAAAATGGAGGACTTTGAGGAGAAGGAAATGGCTGAGGATGATGCTACAGACAGCAGCTCATATAAAAGTGCTCCATCACATCTCAGCCCAGAGACTCAAGGGAGCATCGCATCTGGTAATGAGGCATACATATAATCCTTAAGGTGCATGACATATTGAGGATCCGATCTGTACTTACTTTGCATCATGAATGCATTTGAATTTCAGATATCATTGACTTAACGGAAATGGATGATATGGCACCAATAGACGTGGAGGACATTGCACCAATGGAAGTGGATGATATTGTGCCAATCTCTTCTGATTCAGACACAGAAAGCCAACATAACACAGAAGGTTTCAGACCCTGTTCAGATATACCAACTATTGGTATTTTCTTCTACAATTTTGCGACATTGAGACAGGTCTAAGTAAAACTTACTTTGCCCTTCTTTTTGCCAGGGGATCATCCATATGTGTCTGTAATCTTGGATGATGATGATGAGGATGATGAAATCACTGATGATGATGACGATTACAACTGTAATGCTGATGATGTCACATGGAATTATGCGGTAAATGTCTGCTCATTGGTTCAGTTCAGTTCTGGATATCTTGTTTAAACATTTTGCTTTCTCTGCCAGAAAAGAAAAGAAAATACGTCTTCTACACGAAACAATGAGAAATAAAAATACCTTTTTACAATACTTCTGTGCAATCAAAGCTGAAGTGTGAAATGTATGTGCTTTCAACTATTTCTTTAAGATGGAATAGGATAAAAGTATTTTAACATCAGAAAATGTAGAACAAGACTTTAGACTCTCCAGCCAATGAGTGCTGTTTCTCTTTTTAGGATGGTTACACAGTGGGTGAGATGGTTTGGGGGCCAATTGAGGGTTTTGGTCTTTGGCCTGGACTGGTTCAGAGCTGGGACAGCAAGAAGCCTTGTGGTTCCATGCGTAAAGTGGTTTTCTTTGGGAACAGGATGCAATCAGAGGTACAAAAATGACTATGCAAAGTCTTATGTTCAAGCTTTTGGATATTCTTTTACTTGAATATGTGTATATAACAAATGGTCTATTGCAGGTCCAAGCAGATGACCTCCTGCCCTTCTTTTCATTTGCCAAGTGCTTCTGTTCGAATTCCTTCGCTACAGTAATGGCGTATAAAGATGCAATTTTCAGTTCTCTGCAGGTAAGACATTTTGTTATTAGTGCTCTATAGTCCATGTACTAGCATGCAGTTTGTAATTTACTCTGATATTACAGCCTGGAAAAAACAGTTTTGGAAATCTAAGGCTAATTTCTAAATCTGGAAAAATAAAACTTCCAAATGTTAGTACAGAAACATATTTGCCTCATGTGTCTCTAGGTGGCTTCCAGACGCAGTAGAATGTTTTTTTCTCCTGAGACGGACTCTAAGGATGAACTGCTTAGAGTCATGTTGGACTGGGCTTTTGGAGGCTTTGAACCATCGGGTCCAGATGGACTTCAGCCTCAATCAGAATGCAATAGTATGCAACAAGCACCGGAGGATGCTCTTTGACTTGAGTGCTATATTCTAATGTGTAGCATGTAGTATTGTATGCTGTATTAATTTACTATATATATTTTTTTTTTCTTCCTTAGACAAGATTTATATGCCTCGATCCATGAATAGGAACATGGAAAACCACAAAGACCCTAAAGGAAAGTTATTTAAATTAACTGTGTCTCTCAGCAAACTCCCTGAATCCCTGGACCTGCACAATGGCTTGATAGACCTTGGTACAACAGAAGTTTATAGGAAACGCATGGATTCAAAATGGAATCAGAGATCCTGGCAGACTGTGAAGACCCGTAGAAAACAAAAATACACACAGAGGAATAAGCATCAAAAGATTACCCCAAGCGTACATATCGAGTCCAGACAGAACAGCCAAAAAAGACGTATGTACATCATTAATATTTATTGTTGCTGTTAAAATTGTGATGGCAAAGCAAGAAAAAATCTGGTGTTTATTGAAATGTTTTGACAGATCAAATGGTGCATGAATTTCTGGAAAACAAGAGAAACGTAGAAGGTCAGAAACCCTTTCATAAACATTGCAGCAACTGTTGATAATGATTGAAGTTCATCCTAACTTTATTTCTCCTCCTCAGAGTTCTGCTTATCATGTGGGAGTACACCTGTCGAAATCATCCACCCACTCTTTGAAGGAAGGCTGTGTTCAAACTGCAAGGTACTAAATATAGTTACACAGCTGTAGTTCTCTCCTCACATGGGTTTGGCTATACCAGCAAAATACTAATTATACTAAAAATACTATTACTAAATGTTGCATAAAATCATGTATACAGTCATACAGTACAGTACAATACAATCCTTCAGTGATGTGTCCGTTTATCACATGTAGTATAATTTCACGGAGACGCTGTACAGATATGATGAAGATGGCTATCAGTCGTACTGCACCGTTTGCTGTTCAGGCATGGAGGTCATTCTATGTGGTCATGACAGCTGTTGTCGGTGAGTGTTTATGATAAGGTCATGGGTTTGTTTCCCAGGGAAAGCAAAAATCTGATAAAATCTGTAGCTTGAATGCAATGTAAGTGTAGTATTTTCACTGAACCCCACTCTGTATAGTTAAATTATTTGGTCTTCACTTCTCTAGATCCTACTGTGTGGACTGTCTGGATATCCTAGTGGGTGAGGGGACATTTAACCAGCTGAAAAATGTGGACCCATGGACCTGTTACCTTTGTGCACCCGAGAGCAGCTCTGGAGCTTTGAAGCCCAGGCATGACTGGAGCATCCGTGTGCAGGAATTCTTTGCCAACAACAGT